TGGGTTGTACTGTATCTTATGATATACCTTTTGATGTCCATTTATGTTTATTCCGTACTATAGTAGTAAAGAGAAAGATATGATGGGTTCATGTGCCGCTTGAACTGAGGCGCTAAAGCAAACGCTCATGTCGCATTAAAGAGTGCCAAAATGGTATTTATTGTTTGAATTTCATATGAATTTGGCAGAATTTTAAATCTGATACTTTCTTTATTAAAATGTAACAGAGCACAAAGCTTATTGCGATTATTACAGCTTGTGCGATACAAATAATACGAAGTTCACGCATTAACAGAACACAGCATACAGTATATTTCAGAGTGATCATTGAGTTATGCTCACAATTTGATCAATTTAAGTCAAAATTCCATTCCTTTGTGTCAAAATGAAAGCTGTGCACGGCAGTGATTTTTTCTTTGGCACAGCACAAAGTGAAGGGCCTAAAACTCCCTTTACTGTTGTCAAATTTCTGTAACGCATGGCCTATAGTGGCTTACTGCGACAAGCTAGAGGACCATTTCAGTAGAACACCAATGTTAATTTCAATAGTTACTATAGGGTACAAAGAGAAATCCCATTCATTGTCTCCCTAAGGGAATTGATTTTTAACGATAACTTATAACCATTTAAAGACAGACCTACAGTGAGCTACATGGTTGTTAATCAATGGTATATGCTTTTGTGAATGTAGCCCGCATTCTTTTTTTATTATTATTATTTAAATAATCGTGCTCAACAGCGGCGTGTCTAGTGAAAAACTACATTACCCATGATTCTGCACAGAAATTACTAACGATCAGAGAAACGTGATTAACAAATTGCACCAAAAGCTGAAAAACTGTGCTTTTTCACTCTATTTGCCCATAATTACATTTATTAATATTAACTAGATTTCTACCTTTTCTAAGTAAAAGTCTTCAATGTTGTGTCATCCACCAGGTGAAAATCGTACACCAGTTGCTCAGAAAAGTAGCATAGCAGTCTAACTCCAGGCTGTTTACACACTGAGAATATAGATCACATTCCATAACCCATCATTTCAAAATGCTGTGGCAAGAGTTTTGTCCGGTTCAGTGATGCACGGAGCTTAAACACATCAGAAATTTCTGACAACAGTGAACAATTCTACTTTCTACTTAAATATTTCAAAGATGACAAAGTAATAAGACAACATTTATGCCATAAAGAAACAAAAACAAGTACAAAAATTCCAAGCTAGTGCCCGCACACACAGAACTTTTCCACAAGATGCTGAACTATACATGATTTCTAACACAAAGTGCTAGCCTAAATGTGCTCTATTGTTGTCATTTCATACACACGCATCAGTTCAGTGTACAGGTATCAGAGACAACAGACATAACAGTTGGGTCCATTTCATCATCCAATGGACATCAGGGCAAGGGCGCAGATGCTTCAGAGAATGCAACTCT